CTCTCTCTCTCTCTCTATATATATATATATATACACATATAAAAACATTATTTCAGCAGTTAAATATTAACATTAAAATGAAGTATTGCATTAAAAACAGCAAGATCAAACCTGTGATGAACAAACATTTTAATTATCTAAGCAAACCTTAACAACAACAAAAATGATGTATATAGTAAAAAGTTTATCAGGGCATAGACTATAACGTGGGATATAAGATATGCTCTGGGTTTTTTGGAGGTGTCTATAGAAGTAGGTCTCACATTACACTGGGAATACGTCACCTACCGGTCTTAACCTCTGTTCACTAGTCTCACACATTAAGCCCCCCTCTAGTAGCACAGTGGTATTTCTGCAGACTTACAACACTAGAAACCAGGTTTCGATACCCTTGGTGGGCAGAGCACAGATAGCCCATTGTATAGCTTTGTGCTTATCTTCAAACAAACTCACACATTAAAGAAGAACAAAACAAATATTGAAGAAAAATAAATTACGAAAGCAAGATATGAGTGCTCAAGCGTACAATGTCCGACATCTATATCACCCATCACTACCTGTACACATAAATAAATAAATATACATATATGTGACAAGTCAAAATATGAGTATTTGTGACAATATTTTAACCTTCAAATTCAATGACGAGGAACCCACTTTGAGACTAATAATGGTTGGAGACGGCTTGAATGGGTAATGAAGAAAAACTTTAATATAAGTTTAACATAACAGTAAATGACAAAACCTTGTCGATACGTTGTACATTTCCTGTTATGTTAAACTTATATTAAAGTTTTTTTCATTACCCATTCAAGCCATCTCCAGCCATTATTAATATTATAACCTGTTGAATATAGATTTATTCTGATTTATACATGTGTTTGTGTGTGTGTGAATATATTCATATATATCATATGAGTCTTACTGATATAAGTCAGTGTTGGTAACAAAGTTTTTGGATATCAATTTTGTGGGTGTAGTTTAATGTATATATATATATAGAGCATGTAAGTCATGTTATTTTCTTTTTTTAGTACGTGTTCGATATTTCCAGCTTGTGAATGGAGAGAAAAAGAGGCTTTTAGAAGAGAGATGTGTGTTAGTTTTTTAGATAAAGGTTAGTAATTTGTTCAGTAAAAGAAGAATAATTTCAATGTATGCTATGTACCATTAATATGATAATTAGCCACTTCCACATAGTTTGTCTCTGGTTAAGTGATCCACTTTATTTTGTTATTACCTGAAGTCATAAATGAGTTGAACATGGCCCAGTGGGGTTGGAGTGTGTGTTATAAGAATTATTGATGAATCCTGATATTCAGTTAGAATAGCCCACGAGTTAGTGGTGGGTGTCATTGACTAGCTTCCTTTCCTCTCGGGTGTCATTGACTAGCTTCCTTTCCTCTCGGGTGTCATTGACTAGCTTCCTTTCCTCTCGTGTGTCATTGACTAGCTTCCTTTCCTCTCGGGTGTCATTCACTAGCTTCCTTTCCTCTCGTCTACCACTTTAAAACTAGGGATGGCTAATATGGATAGCTTTTGCAGAAAATTTAATAAACATAACCTACCTGCACACACCAGTTATTAGCATATTTTATCATCATCTTGGTTAGTCACTCCGTGTTTTTTATCTCGTAATATTTAACGTGTTAGATCAAGTGTTCTTTTATAAGCAAAAAATGAAACATTTTATCACCTACCGTCAAGTAACAGTTTTGTTATTTGTGGATGTTCTGAAGTTTTTTTTTTTACTCTAAAGTTGGGTTAATAAGGTACAATTATGAGTAAAAGTTACAATATTTGCATATGTACGGGTTTCTAAAATCTGAACTTTAGTCTAGCCAGTCAGAAGAAAATGTTTTAAAAGAATGTATTTACCTTGATATCTGTATAATTATCTTTCATATCTATTTTTCATTTATCTTTAATATTATTACTACAAAAACCTGAATACTTAGAAAACTTACAGTTCTTGTTATTGAAAAATGTATACTCACTCCGGAATATTGTGATTTTTTGTAGATCCAGTTCTTGAAAATGACGTGGCATTCCTCTTGTATTCTGTTTCTGCTTCTTTTTGTTTCGTTTTTGTGGCAGTAGTATGTTTCTTGGTAGTTCAGAAAAGTTGCAGAAAGAAAGCAATTTCCAAGCAAAGTACTCATTCCACATCATCCTGCCATGAAAATCCTGCTTTTTCAGAGGATTCTCGAGATTCTTGTGAAGATCTTTACTTGTAAGTTTTTCGAACCAACAAAATCATATTTTCTCTTTGCCAAGAAGTTACATGAACCAAACAAAAACTTATCTTAACTTTGCCAAGAAGTTAAATGAACCAAACAAAAACATATTTAGTCTTTGACAAGAAGTTACCTGAACCAAAACGTATCTTCTCTTTCCTGAGAAATTAAATTATTAGATATAGCACATAAATAAGATACTTTGTGCTTAATTAACAATGCTACATAGGTCTTATTGGATGATATATTACTTTACAGTTGGTCTGATGTTAGATTCTGTAAAGTTTTTGAGCCTCAGTCATAAAAAAAAACCCAAAACATTAAGGCTTAAACATTTTCATTGTCTTAGTTTCCTTCTCTTTTAATTACTTTATGTTATGTGTAAGATTTTAGTTGTATTGTTTAAACTCATTCATGTGTGTGTATTTATATGTAAATCTGCAGCATGGGCCACAGCAGACTCTCGATAAAGGAAAACAAAATCATATGTAACACAACAAGCCTTTTATTCATACGTACGTGTAACATCAGAAATGTTTTTAGTGCTTATAAAAACATGACTTAAAATATAACTATGTATTCTTAGTATTGTTGCGTCAGCGAGGTCACGTGACTAGTATCACGCCATATAGTGTAGTCTTGTATATATAAGACCGGCCACGAAGCGTACGCAGGGGTAATGAGTAAGTGAACTGCAGTCAGAGAGAATGTTGTTAAGCACGTGAACCGTTCCGACGAAACTTTAGCGACACAAGTCCTTTCTTAAATAAAACTGATTTATTCATTCCGAATACAACATTACGATACACTTAATTTCAACAGTCGCTCTGTAACAAACGCTATAATACTCAACGAACTTAATTTACGGAT